TGTGGGATGGGCTCCTAAAATCCATTCCTATGGTAGTGATAAGTACTGATCCACTACAAGAGGCCCCATAGATTTCCAAGGTCTCCTCACTGACACCCACATTCAGGGGGGTCTAGATCAGTCCCATGCTGGTTTCCCAGCTATAAGTCTGGGGACCAAAAGTTGTCCCTTGTTCAGGTTGTAATAGTATTCTGAATCTTACTTTTGTTTTTTGTTTTTACCATAGAATAGTTATTAGCAAACTATGGTTTCCCACCTGTTTTTGTAGAGACTGAAAGCTGAGTGCTTTCTTGCAGTTTGAAGTGTTTGGAGATGGAGAAGCAAGAGGGGATAAACATTTTGTGAGACATGAAACGAATGTGAAATTCAAACTGTGGTTTCCGTAATTAAAGTTGACATATGTCATAATCATTCATTTACATACAATCTGTGTCTACACTCTTCTTTACAAAGGCTAAACTGAACAGCTGAAGCAGCGACTGTGTGTGGCACACAAAGTGTGAAATATTTTCTGTCTGACCCTTTACAGAAAAACAATTGCTAGCCTCTAGTAACAAGTTAAAGCTCATAGGTGTTCAAGGCTGACCCTGGAAGGGCAGTGGTGGGAACAGGAAAGCATAGCAGCCAAACTTCCTTGGATTCTAGAAGTAGTTTCATTGAGCCTGCAGGATTCCTTTGAGAATAAAAGCACAATAGATAGGGCTGTCCAACGTGCTGAAGTCTCTAACAAGCAATGAACAGGATACTTTGTGGATGAAGTAATTCATTCAGATTCACTGAAGCCCTTTTGTGCCAGATGCTACATTAAATGCTAGGAATATCTAACTGGAAATATCTACATCTTGCTTTTAGGAGCTTGTAGCCTGGTGGGAGAATCACCACCTGGTGTGTATTTTGTGTTGTAATGAAATGCTGTGAGCTAGTTGAGATGCTGGACAGAATAGAAAAGGAAGCCCAGGCTGCTTCTGAAGTTGATAGGATCCTCTCGGTAATTTGCTATAGGCCTTGGAAGATAAATAGAATTCCTTTGCAAGGAGCTATAGGCAAGGCTGAGAGAAGGCATGGAACATGAGCATTTGGAACTTAGGTAGATGGGGGAGAAATGATTTAATGGTTCTATGCTAGATGACTGGCAGGATGATGTAATCAACAGAGAAGAAGAGAAATCAGGAGGAAGGAAGCTGTGGTGGGAGCTGGGGACAAGTCCAGCTTGGGAAATGTGATTTGAGGTAATGTTGAAATGCATCCAGTTTTCAGTTAGAAACCTTTGAAATTTTGGCACAGAAGCCCAGAATTCAGACTTAAGAACATTTTCAGTGCTTTTTCCCCAGGGAAAAGGGGAAGTGCAAGTGTGTTTCACTGAGAAAAAGCTGAGCAACTTTGACACTTGATAACTAAAGCCAGGGGGTTAAAAATAGCATTGGGTCTACAGAAAAATCCACATTGGGAATCAGCAATGATTGTTTTTGGCACAAAACCATCTCCACCGCTGCTCTCAGAGTCTGCTTTATCTTGCTGGCACTGTTACCTCTTGCCTATGAGACTTGGGCCTGACTACTAGGAGCCAGAGCCAGCACTTAAGCGTCTCTCACAAGCAAGCAGCTGGGGAGTGTCAGCTTGAACCCTCTGTGAGACTCTAGGAGCCACGAGAAGGCTCTATCACCCTGGCAAGTTACAGCTTTTAGTATCTGGAATCCACAATGAGAGCAAATCTGAAATTTCTTTATTCAGACCCCTGGTAGATCTTCTAGTGCTCAGTGTAAGTATTTTCGTTTACCCATTGGTTTTAAAGCCGGGGACATCTGTGACTCCTGTATGTGCATCTACTTCCTACTGTAACTCACAGAGCAGGGGCGTTTGTGTTGATCAACATCTCCTCTGGTCCTCTTGAAGAAGCCATCAGTCTCACACCCTCTCTTCTTCTGCTTCTTGAAGATTTCCACACTGGGGATGAAGCAGAGGCAGGTAGCAAACTGAAGGACATTGGCTGGGAAGAAGCCAGAGGATAGCTCCCTGTGTCTGGAAGACACCAACTTTGGGATTCCTATGGGACTTCACGAGACTCACTGCTGAGTGGAAGAACTTTGTGGGTAAGATTGGGTGAACAGTTTACCTCCTCCCTTTTTTTGTTTTTATTTATTTATTTTATTTATTGGTTTTTCAAGACAGGGTTTCTCTGTGTAGCTTTGGAGCCTATCCTGGCACTCGTGTAGACCAGGCTGCCCTCGAACTCACAGAGATCTGCCTGGCTCTGCCTCCCAAGTGCTAGGATTAAAGGCGTGCACCACCAATGCCCGGCTCCCTTCTCCCTTTTTTAAAAACCATATCTTTAATTATTTATTTTGTGTCCATTAGGGATGGGTGTGTTGTGCTGTGTGTGGAGGTCACAGGACACCTTTCAAATGCCAGTTCCCTTCTGCCATGTGGGTCCCAGAGATCAGACTCAAGTCATTGGACTTGGAGACATGTCCCTTTATCCACTGAGCCATCATGCCATCTGTCACTTACCTTTTTTTTTTTTTTAACATTACTTTGTATTGAAATTCTCTCCTATTTCCAGAGAAAGGAGTGAGTTCAAGGTCATGTAAGCTGTTGATGGTTTTCAGTATTTGCTTGGGCGGCTTGGCTTAGCCATCTCAGGTCCCAGTAAGTTCCTGTGACAGTTATGTAATAGACAGGATCACATTTCTTCTGGAACAAAATGGCAGAGGGACAGAAGGAAAATAGAACAGTAAGTAAAACATGTTGTTTCCTCTACCGCATCATAACAAGATAAACAGCAGAAGTGTAAAAAGTGAAATTCTTGTCCCCATGGAGTCTTGTTCTTCACAAGGAAATGTTGAAAATTCTGTTTGTTGTTTTTTATATCTCACACGTGGTACAGATACTGAATTTGTGACATGTTCTGTGTTTTGCTCTAGCTGGAGGTCTCCTCATGTCTGATTTGGAATTCATGAGAGTTGAATAAGGTTGTTTTAGCCTGGCCTGTGCTTTTTCATAATACTCAACTGCTGTGTGTCACCTGTTTTCACCTGAAGCTTCCTGGTGGCACTGACATTGTACCCTGCCCCCCCCAACTGCCTGCCACCCCCAAAGTTCTCCCCTTCTCTGATGACACTGCTGTTCTTATGGTTGATTTTGGTTGAAAAGCACACATTCATTCACCTGCATTGAAACCCCACTCTGTGGCTGGTCCATGCTAAGCCATGGGGGTTAGAGAAGAATCAAACATTGTCCTCTCTTTCAAGAATCATCATAACTGTCAAGGACAGTGTCCACTGTCCCCAGTCGTTTGGAAGTACCATTTCTACCTCTGTGGCTTCCTCCCTTGCTCTATAATATGGCCTTCCTTCTGTCCCTGCTTCCCTCGCCTCTAGTATAGGCCTTCCTTACCTCTCTCTGGCCTTTTGCAGTAGCCTCAGTCTATCCTGTCTCTCAGCAGCTGCTGTTTACACTGTATATCACAGCCAGCTTGAAGGCCACAGTGCTCCTGACTCCCTCCTCATTGCCTAGAACAGAGTTTTACAGGTGTGCCACACAGAAACCCTTCCAGGAGATCCACAAGCTCAAAAGTTTTCACAGTAGTAACCAGGTGTTATTTGTTGTTGCAAAGTGACAGTGAGGAAGCTGCTGATGCCTTAGTACAGTCAGGGAAGTGGCATGGAGCTGTGCTCACAGCCATGTTGTTCCTCCCTGCCATCTACTTAACAGCCATTTTCACTTAAGAATGTCCTTGATGAGGCTGGCATTGGTGGTGCACGCCTTTAATCCCAGCACTCGGGAGGCAGAGGCAGGTGGATCTCTGTGAGTTCGAGGTCAGCCTGGTCTACCCAGCAAGTTCAAGGACAGTGGACACTGTCCCCAGTCGTTTAGAAGTACCATTTCTACCTCTGTGGCTTCTTCCCTTGCTCTATAACATGGCCTTCCTTCTGTCCCTGCTTCCCCCATCTCTAGTGTAGGCCTTCCTTACCTCTCTCTGGCCTGTTGCAGTAGCCTGAGAAACTCCAAAGCAATACAGAGAAACCCTGCCTTGAACCCCTCCCCACCCCCCAAAAAAAGGAAGAATGTCCTTGATGAAGCAGCAGGAGATGCTGATTTTACTGAATCTCACCTGAGGACCATCTTCTAATATTCTGTATGATGTAGAGAAGATACACTTACAGAGCACTTCTTTTGTGTAGCAAAGCACAATGATGACATACCAAGGAATGGCACTTATAAGCACTGTTTGAATTTTAAGCTGAGCAAAAAGCAGCTGTTGTCATTTTTCTGTGGAAGAATGAGTGATGGTTATTAAGGATGGGAAGAAGACAGGGACCAGTGTTGGAGGGCCTTGTGAACTGTATTGATGAGCTTAGATGGCTAGCTTAGCTTGCTTTTCTCGGCCTTTATATGTGCTTCCTTACCCCAGCCCTGCGCTTTGCTATGCTTTGTTTTGTATTCTGTAAACACACACTTCCTGTTTCTGCTTGCATATTGTTCTGATGTCATTCATTCCTCCAGGAATTGCAATGTAGCTGCAAAGGCTCCTTGTGCTCCTAGGATCAGAGCAGAGGGAGAAGATGAGTTTGAGTGTTTGCTCTGGGCATCTGAGTATCACAGCCTGCAAAGCATCTCTCTGATGCCGTTTTCACTGCAGCTGTGTTGAACCACATGACATGGAGGTTGTCTTAGTTAGGGTTTCTATTGCTGTGAAGAGACACCATGACCATGGCAACTCTTATAAAGGAAAACATTTAATTGGGATGGCTTACAGTTTCAGAGGTTCAGTGCATTATAATCATAATGGGACATGGCAGCATACAGACAGACATGGTGATGGAGAAGGAGCTGAGAGTTCTACATCTTGATCTGTAGGTAATAGGAAGTGAACTGTGATACTGGACATAGCTTGAGCATAGGAGACCTCAAAGCCCACCCACTCCCACAGTGACACATTTCCTCCAGCAAGGCCATACATAGTCCAACAAGGTCATACCTCCTAATAGTGCCACTCCCTTTGGGGGCCATTTTTTAAAAAATCACCACAAGATCCTAAAATAATAAAAAAAAAAAATCTCCACTCTGAAATCTCACAGACTGTGTGTGAGATTAGGTGGGGCTAATTTCATACATGGCTCCTGTCATTATTATCGGTTAAATTTGACCAGCTTCTGCTCAAATATGTCTTCTTCTTTTCCCTTATACCTAGTGATGTCATTAGAAACCACATCTACCAACCCTCAGGTCAGATGGTAGAAGATGTCACATTGAACTTCATTCTAGACTGCTATAAATAATGCGCTTAGACATTGGTTTGTAGTTTATCTTCTATAAGATGACAAAACACAAAATATAAGGTATCTCAGGGCAAGAAGAAACTTCTGGAAGGTTACAGTTAATTAATATAGTAGTGAGGATGTGACTATTAGGCCTTTGTGCTTAGGTAAGCTAGAAGAGAGCTGCCTGACCTTTTTGACACTGGAGCACATGCAAGAAACATGTATAAACAGTGAGCTGAGGGACTGGAGGCCTGCTGAGAGATCAGAGTCTCATAGACTTATTAGAGTTTCTGTTGCTGCAATGAAATACTATTAGCAAAATTAAGTTGGGGAGGGAAGGGTTTATTTCATCTTACACTTCCAGGTAACAGTCCATCATTGAAGGAAGTCAGGGCAGGAACATGGAGGCAGTTGCTGATGCAGAGGCCATGCAGGGGTGCTATTTACTGGCTTGCTCAGCCTGCTTTTTTATAGAACCCAGGACCACCAGCCTGGGGATAGCCCCACCTATAATAGGCTGGGCCCTCCCCCATTAAATACTAATTACAAAAATGACCTACAGCCAGATCTTATGGAGGCATTTTCTCAATTGAGGTTGCCTTCTTTCAAATGACTCTAGTTTGTATCAAGTTGTCATAAAATTAGCCAGCACAGTACATCAGTCAAGAACCACTGTACCAAGATTTGTAAACAATAACATTGGTGTCTGGTTGTCATCAGTTACCCCTTTGCCTTTCAGCATTGGTGTTTGAGAACAGTGTCATTACAGGTTAGAATTCTTGAGCCAGAGTCTAGGCTTAAATTCTAGCACTGCTGCTTACTCACTAGATGATCATGACATATCACTTTTACCCATTTGTATCAGTTTCTCCATTTGTAAAATGTGGTCAAGAATTATGCTTACTTCAGAGTTGTGCAGATTGCATCAGTGGGTCTGTAGAGTATAGTAACTGTAAAGAGCTTCAGACATTGCGTGGCACATGAGGACCACATGAGAGTGTGCACTGTAAATATTATGGTAGTGTGCACCGTAACTTCTGTTTCTATAGAGGCACAGATGACCCCAGTGTCCCATGTTCCCTCTTCCCTTGTCTTACATGCCTTACTCCACCCCTTCCTTAAGTGTGTGTCAAACTTCTTCAGTTCCTCCATTTCCTTTTTTGTCTATGGTTTGTTATGGTTGCTGCTAAGGATGGGACCCGGGGGTAGACAAGCACTCTTACTAAGCTACTCCCAGCCCCCGGTTTCCTCCCATTGTCCATTCTCCTCAGCTGACCCTGAGGACGCCTCTGAGTTTGTCTGATTATGCCCTTCATCCTGCTCTGCACCATTCTTCCTTTTCCAGAAAGCCCTTCAGAATGAAGAACTCGGGCAGATTGGGATCCTCAAAGAGCTCCGGAGTTGTCATGGGGAGGGAGTCAGAGCTGTTTGCAGAGCTGAGTGAACCAGATGACCCTCTGGCGCCATGCATGAGATATGACAGCTGGCGATCTGTGTCTAGACTCCATCAGAGAATGAGTGTGGGCCTGGTAACATGAGGAACAGTGGGGCTGACTCATCAGGCTCTATCAAAATGGCAGTTAAATTGGAAAGTAGACCTTGGGGTTATCTGCTGGGGAGAGCAGTGGCCAGTACCTGTCATTGCTATGGGTTGTGCCCCACCCCCAGGGTTCCTTGGCCTTTTCCAGTTGCTCCATGAGTGAAGGTGCCAGGCTGAGTATGTGATCTGTATCCTTAAAGCCTGTGCTGCTCCACTTATAGTGCAGTCTGTTCCTGTGAGTGTACACATGCGTGGTACGCATGTGTGTATGTAAGGGCGGGTGTACATTTGTGCACAGAGGTGTTGAAGCAGGAGGTTGACACTGAGTATCTTCTTCAGTTGCTCTCCACCATTGTTTAGACAGGGACTCATCGGGTAGCCCTGCCTTGACTCTTGATTTGTAGACCAGACTGACCTTGAAGTCACAGAGACCTGCCTACCTCTGCCTCCTGAGTGCTGGGATTAAAGGCCTTTGCCTCCACACCCAGCTAAACGTTGGATTTTAATACAGAGAAATATAAACATAATTTGAAAAACTGTAATCAGCCTCTAATCAGCCTCTAAATTTCAAAGTGTCTTCAATAAAAGATTTTTTTCTCCCTCAGTGTTGAAGATCAAATATAAGGCCTTGAAAGCTTTGCCTCCTCTCATCCCACATGTGCCTCCCTCCACCAGAACACACAGATAGGGTCCCCAAGCACTGCTGACCTGAGAGTGAGGGCTGGAGGCAGTGGAAGTATGGGGAGCGTCCAGACCACAGCAGTCTGTCTGGAAACTGAAAAGAACTGCCTGCTTACTTCCTCCTCACATTCCCGAGTCTAAAGAGAACCAGGCTTCTAGAAAACAAGCTAAGGACCTTTTGTGTCTGAGACCTTTTTGGAGAGGGAGTATGGTAGAGTTGATGGGGTTCATAGCCGAGGCCACCCTTTCCCTGCATCATCTACAAGGCACGTGCACTCACTCCCACATTTCTTCCAGGGTGTTTGTGCCATGTACCATTTCCATTTCAGTGCAGTTTGTTATAGATGGTATTTATCCAATGCTGTACGGTGACTTTAGGGGACAGTAGGAACACAGGGAATGATCAAGAAAGTCAGTGTTAGTGGCCCTTCTCTTGGAGACTTGGGAACAGAGGCTGGAATACCAGCCATAGTTCTATACAGTAATATCCTATTTGCCTCATACCTAACTTCCAGAGTGGTTGATTTCACACACCATAACTCATGTGGAGTTATTAGGAAGCTGCATGGGGTAAGGACTTTTGAGCTGCATGGATGGCCAGGAAGAATTCCTATACCAGGGGAATCAGAGAGGTCAAGGTGCAGTCTGATTATGGGGCTTCCCTTCAGGTGCATTTGTCCAGTGGCTGGAACATGCTGAATTAAGGTCTCTGTGATAAAATTAGAGTGCGACCCATCTCATTCCCAGTAACCTTTCCTACCCCACACCTCTTGCTATGAAAACGGGGTAAGTTATGCATGCTTCCCCATTTCACTGTTTTCTTACGTTTCTTTCCTAGTTTCAAAAAACAACTCTCCCTCAACAAGTTCTGTTTGCAAGGAAAACCTTAACCATTTGTCCTTTCTGGCGTACTGTCTTCCATTGAGATCCATGCAGAATAGACCAGGTATTTTGTCTTTGTGTGTGAAACCATAAAATCTAATATTGAATGTGTAGCTCTGCCCAGGGGTATGCTGCTTCCACCGGAGGCTCCACGGTCCTGCTGTGGTAAAGAGCACATATAAATTGCTGCTAACAGGGTTTTCTATCTAGAGCTGTAAGTATGTCTGAGAGTCCCCTGTGAGTCACAATGCCGCCAGCTCTCCTGCTGTTCTCCACAGTGCCTGCCCGTTGGCTGTTTGGTTTGTCCACAGGCCACTAATCGGAGTATGGCCAGGGGAGGGTGAAGGAGCTGAAACCACAGTCTGTTCACTCCACTCTGGGTTTGTAGCACTGGTGAGAAAAATAGTTGGGACAAGCATTGACACTAGATTGCACACCAAAGGGATAATCATCCAGTCATGTAGTCCCATCCCATCCTATCCCCTCCTCCAATTCTTCACACACAAATGAATGGCCTGTGCTTTATTTCTAAAGAATTTCTCACAAAACGTCCTATAAATGCATCTGGATGGCATTTTTCCTTGTAATTTACCTTATGAGTGTGGCTACTTCAGTAGCAGTATTTAATCCTCTGAGAGTCATAGGGCATTGTTGTCCCCAGGTAGAACTTGTGCTTGAAGCTGTTGGCAGGAATAGCATTTCTAGACACTCTGTGAATTCTGTGTGTGTGTGTGTGTGTGTGTGTGTGTGTGTGTGTGTGTGTGTTTTCTTCTCTGTTCTGGAGTGTAATTGAAAACCTGCTGTTATAAGGTCCCTAAAACAGAAGGAGGGATGCCTCTTACAGATGGTCGGCTGCTTAGCTGTGCCTTCTGGATTGTAGTGTTGGAAGTGCCATTCTGCATGCTTCCTGCTAACAGTCATCAAGTGCCGGCCTCTGTGAGCAGCATGTGTTTGGGCAGTGGCACTAAGCAATCTTCCATCGGACCCTTGGAGGAGGGAGTGGGCCTTCCCCTCAGTGAGCAAAGAGCCAGATTCCATTTTGAACTTCTTGGAAAACAACCCTCAGAGCCCATGTTTATTGAAGTTTGGTGTAAAAGTCTCTCACATCCTCTGCCCATCAGCTCTGGGGTGCCTCTATTTTAGAAGGATGTAGAGGTTTAATCACCCTGGTGGGGATTTAGACCCAGAGACTTCAGAGAAATCTTATTATTTCTAACTGCAGGCAAAGAGTATTAAGGCTCCACTCTGGATCAGGGGCATGACATGTCCTATAAGTAATTTATCTTTAGCAGGGGAAGGCCCCTACTAGAGTGGCCTAGAAACAAAACTGCGACTGGCTCTCATTTTTCCTCCTTTTCTCTTTCCCATCTCAGTCTCCTGCTGCTTCTTTCTGTCCTGACCCTTCCTACCCAGTATGTCCCCTGTCTGTATCTGCCAGCATGGGAGCCAGGTGCCTGCCAGGGAGAGATAATGATGTTTTTACAGTAAGTGACCTCATCCAGCAGCCTGTCTTAGACTTGTCAGCTGCAGGCCTCCCTGCACTCTTTCAGTGAAGGACCAGGGAAGGAGAGGGTGGTGTGGCACTGGACCTGCGCTCCTGGAGTGAATGAATTGGGGGGCAGTCTCAGCCCAGCCCTCCTCCCACCCTCATTATCTTTGAGGATATAGAGGCCTTCACAGCCCCCAGTGCATAGCCACAGAAATATTGCTCAGCTTCTGATTTTACCATCAGGTTCTATTCCTCACCCCTTCCTTATCTAGCTCCTAGCCCTAGGGACCCTCCCTTTCTGATGATCACAGGTGGGCCCTGCTTGTAGGTTGCTTGTTGTTTGGGGACTGTGGTTTAGCTGGTGGCAGATCTAAATCCATGTGCTAATGAGCTTGGCAAATGCAGGCTTCTGGTTGCCTCTCCTAATCTAGCTGCCTGTCTGAGTCCCTTCCCACAGTTAATGATCTCCTATAATGGTTTTGCCTTTAGTTTTGCCTCCTGGGTCAAAACAAATCAATATTCCTCACAGATATTTAAAACCATCAAAATAAAGCTCCTGGGTCTCTCTCTTTTCTCCTTCTGGGTAAACTCCCTGCTTGATTGGTACAGTGCAATTTCCCTCATGTTCCCTCTTGTCTCCCAGATATGGGCAGCAGTGAGCCCCTTCCCATTGTGGATAGTGACAAGAGGAGGAAGAAGAAACGCAAGACCCGGGCCACTGACTCTCTTCCAGGAAAGTTTGAAGGTTGGTCTAGGCCTGAGTGCTGCAGGATGATGGGGAGGGGGGGAGGGGGGCAATCTCTGCTATCCACAGGACTAGACTCCAGGACACCTCACCTTAGATGGTCCTTGTGATTAGTAAGACCAGTCAGTGATCCAGAAAGGATAGGCACATCTCTCAATCGAGGCACTGACCTCTGAGTAGTGTGAGCATCACCTCGGTGGTAGAAAAACTAGCCTGTGGGAGCAGACGTGAGCCGCCTTCTTGTGGTTCCTGGAAGGCTGGGAGGCAGAAGAACCAGAAAAGATGAAGTGAAAACACTGAGGCCACAGCTGCAGTGACACTGCAGTCTTCTCTAAGTGGGGAACTAGCCTTCAGAGACCGCAGCAACTGGTGCTGCAAGTGCTTGACTCTATATCTGGGCATTGGAAAAGAAGATGTGATTGACTGGCTGTTTCTCCTAAGTGGTCAGAGGATCAGTAGCCACTTTTAGGAATAGCATATCCCCTTTATGTAGTTTTTCACTGTGAGAAAGTAGCTTCCCCTCATGGGCCCTCTTCCTGGCCTAACACACATACCAGCAAACTGATAGTTTGTAGAATGTTCTAGTAACTAACACTGTATAAATCGGGAATACTTTACTCCAATCACCTAACATCCTGGTGTATGTAACAGACCAGTACTGAAGGATACTCTGAGAGAGAACCATGCCATTTAAATCACCTACAAGTAGTAGTCAACAGTGCACCATCCATTCATATAGACAGCTGCAAGACCAGACTGTAATGGAACCGAGAAAGTACTTAATATAGAGATTTATGGGGTTGGTTTGTTTGTTTGTTTGTTTGTTTTCATTTTTTTTTCTGAGATCGGGTCTGCCTATATAGTTCTGACTGTCCTGGAAGTCACTCTGTAGACCAGGCTGACCTCGAACTCTTGGAGGTCTATCTGCCTTTGCCTCCCAAGTGCTGGGATTAAAGGTGTGTGCCACCACATTTGGGTGTGTGTGTGGTGTGTGTGTGGTGTGTGTGGTGTGTGTGTGTGTGTGTGTGTGTGTGTGTGTGTGTGTGTGTGTGTGTGTGTGTGTGTTGGGCAGTGGGGGAGAGAAAAGTCCCTGAGGTTTTAGAAGAGTCACAAAATCAGCAGGTCTTTTGTTTGTTTATTGAACACAGAAGGGTTTCCTGTCACTCAGGGTTAGTTGAGCAAGCACAGGCATCTCATGACTAAGAGTGATAAAATCTCCTGAGGTTGATTAAGTCTTCTGCTCAGGCTGTGGGTTTAAAAACTGGGTTGCCTTAAGAGAACAGCTGAGGAAGGGAGCAAGGGAGGATGAGGTCCGTTCAGCAAGGTTGTGGTACAGCTTCCTTTGGAAGAAGCTCCGAGAACCTTGTTGTTTGTGAGCTTGGGCAGGTATTCTGAACACTCTTCCAGCCTGAATCTGTTACTGCTCTGCTATGACACTCTGACCTGAAACCTCAGGCATTGTTTGCATCCTGCTCTGTCTCTTAATTTCCTGTGGGTGACTTTCAGAAATCCCTGAGGCTCCCTGGTGACCTCCACTTCTGCATGTATGAAGTAGTTGTTATTATCCCCTTCACATCCCCCATGACTGGCACAGAGTTTGGCACATAGTAGGTGTTCAGCAAATGAGTAAATTAGTAAATGCTGTTCATTCAAATAACACCCTTCTTCGAAGATCCCTGGATTGCCCTGTGGGTTTCCCCATTCACTCCCAGGCTTGCTCCTCCCCCTTACTATGCTGTCCCTCTGTCCCTCTGTCCCTCTGTGGTACTCACCAGGGCCTGGGTTACTCTGAGCTGCTGTGTATGTTTGTCTTCCCTACTGGACTCAACCCTTAGAGGGGAGGGACTGGATTCTGTTCCTCACTCTGTCCCTGTTATGTTACCTGACACAGTAGATGCCCAGAAAGTAGGTTCTGAATTGAAACCCCTCCTCTGACCTTGTCTCTAAAATGAAGAACAGGTGTCTGCTGAGTCTTGTTGAGAGTTGGGAGCTGTGTGAGAAAGCTAGGAGGTCCTTGTCACTGAGGCTGCAGAGTCACCTTGGCCTCTTCCGCCTGGGTGAGCAGACCAGAGAAGCCAAGCAACAGTATCTCTTCCTATCATGGCTTGCAGTAGGGTGACTTACCTGGTTTTCTTCCCCCCTGTTCCCCCTTCAGATGTGTACAAGCTGACCTCTGAGTTGCTGGGAGAGGGAGCCTATGCCAAAGTCCAGGGTGCTGTGAGCCTGCAGACTGGCAAAGAATATGCTGTCAAAGTGAGTGTCCCACTGGGTCCCCACCTCTACTTTGCAAATTGTCATTCCTAGCTTGACCCAAACCAAATAAATTGTGTATTATGCAACATGGTATCTCAGAAAGGGCAGAATGGAGTGGGGGAGCATGCCTGTACTCACTGGACTCAAATCTGGGCTTTTCTACTTAACTGTTTTATAAACTCGAACAAGTTACTCAACCTTCTGTCCTTCAGTTTTCTTTTCTGCAAAATGGGTATAAATAATAGAACTTACATAGGATTATTGGGATTGAATAAATTAATAGGTATAATGTAGGTAATCCATGTAGGCTGTTTCTGATTACTGTAATAAGCAACATAAGCTTTGGAAGTAGAAGCTCTGCATGAATCATTTTTAACAAACACTGAAGCTCCTTAAGCCCTGGTTTCTCTATCTAAATGAAAGTGACAGTTCCTGCCCTCAAAATCTGGTGAAGTGATTACGAAGGTGAAAATAGCTCGAGCTGGTAGACACACTTGATAAACCACAAAGTACAAGCGATGACCAATATCAGGATGGTGAGGACTAGGACCTGAAGTGACCGAGCACTCGGCTTTGGGGCAGGAGATGTGGACTTAGCCTCAGTGCTGCCTTTAATTAGCTGCATGACTCTGGCGTGTCTCACTTTCAACCCATTTGGCTACTGAGAGGAGAGAGACAGAGCTGCAGTTCTCAAAGTAGGGTCCTTGGGCTAGCAGCACCAGTGTCCCCTGGAGAGTGTGAGAAATGCACACGATTTGGCCCTAATGCATTAGAAATTAGGCCTCGCCCAGCACTGCATATCACCATACAGGTGAGTGTGATCCTCAGGACAGTCTGAAAACGCTGATGGAGGGCAGATTTAAACTGCAGTGGGCAGCGATCAGAGAGTGAGCTAACAGCACAAAGAGCCAGGCTTCTCAGCAGGAGAGACCTGGAGCTACATCTTTGCAAAAGTGCCCCAGTGATTCTGAGAGCCACTGTTTGAGGGCCACTGAGCTCTATGGAGAGGCTTACTGAAGCTGCAAGGGAAGAGTGTAGCATGTCAGGTAAGCTTATTTCAGATCAGCCAGCTGAGCCATCAGGTCTAAGCACTGCCTCCTTCAGGGCAACCCTGCTGAACTGGATCCAAAGAAACATCTCTTCTAACCAACTCTCAATCCCAGCTTCGGATTATGATTCTGAAGAATATCTTTGCTAAACCTTCTGGCTGGTGTATCATTCCACATATAACAAAAGAGCTACTTCTATTCCTCTTTGTAAACAAGTTACAATAAACTAAATAGAACTTTTAATATGCCTAAAAGTGATTAAAGCATACATACACATACGTAAATGTTAAATTAAATGGAACCCAGTGTGGTGGCACACACCTTTAATCTCAGCACTTGGGAGGCTAAGACAGGCAAATCTCTATGAGTTCCAGACCATCCTGGTCTACATAGTGAACTCCAGGTCATCCAGAGCTATAGGGAAAGACTCTGTCTCAAAACACAGATGGATGGATGGATGGATGGATGGACAGATGGACGGACAGATGGGTGGGTGGGTGGGTGGGTAGATGAATGGACAAAAGGTCTGTTTCTTCCAGGGTGAGTCACAGGAGGAAAACATGGCACTCTGATCCATGTCCCTCTAGAAGCTTTAGGCAACCTAAGACAAACTAGATCTCCCAGCATGAGTCTCCAAGACATGGCTTACTACTGCTTTTCCTCTAAGCATCCACCCAGTGACTGCAGAGATGGGATGGAATATCCCAACAACCTGATGCACACTGCCTCTAACTCAAAGTAGTTATCCATGTTCTGCTCCTAGGCTAGTGGTCGGAACCCATTGGTTATCTCCTTAGAGAGAAGTCAGCTGTTGCTGGAAAGCCTGCCTGCTGGAGAGTTGTCTTTAATTTTGACCATGCCTGCTTGATGAATGCAGCTGAATAACACAGAGTGTCTGATCCCCAGCACTGCCCCTTGCTGCTGATAGTTAAAGATGGGTCCAGAGTGAGTTCCTAACAGGTGCGACTAACCTCCGTGTTACAGTTGGATACACGTTTGTGCTACATCACAGTAAAATCTTTTGAAGCTAGAAGGAAGAGGCAGGATGTCCCCTTCTGAGATGTGACTAGCTCTGCCTGCAGGCTATGTTTACAATGCTACAGGGCTCTGGATGGCTACAGAGGCCTTTTCAGAGTCAGCTTGACCCCACACAAACCACTGCCGAGCGGCCTCATGTGTTTCTGCAGTCAGCACTTGCCAAGCAGCTCCAAGTGGAGACGTAGCCATGTAGCAGGAACTACCGGCAGCATGGCAGGAGAAGTGAAAGCTGCAGGATACTGCCTAGGCTAAGTGCAAGTGTGGGCTAGAGAGAGGACTGGGAGAAGACAGAAGACATACACCTTCCTTATCTTTTTTAGCATGGTTGTCAGGGTTGAGCAACACAGAATGTCTAAATTACTCACACAAAGCCTGCCAGAGAGTAAAGTTATCAGAAGAGGAAGTATTTTTCTTATATCTGTAGGAGCTGCATAGTGGCTTCTGAGTAGAACGTCTTTGCTTCCTCTCCACCCTGGCCACCCTCCCTCCATCTCAGCACAGTCATACCTGCCCTTTGGGATTAAGAGCCAGTAGAAACCGCTATCTCTCTGGTTGCTCCAGCCCTCCATGTGCAGCTAGGAGCCAGCAGCTTCATATTTTATTTATTTTTATTTTATGTGCTCATTTGTCTGTGTGAGTATGTCAGATGCCCTGGAACTAGAATTACAGACAGTTATGAGCTGCCATGTGGGTACTGAGAATCGAACCTGGGTCCTCTGGAAGAACAACCAGTGCCTTAACCACGGAACCGTCTCTCCAGGCCCAGAGCATCAGCCAGAGACAACTAGTGGAAGCCCTAACTGCTGTCCTGTCCTCATGTCACTGAAGCCCACTCCAGACTCCTACTGGAGCATAGCTTTGGATTGGTTCTAACCTTGCCTCCTCCCAGGGGCTCTGGCTGGGGATCTGTCTTGAGGTTAGATAGTATACATGACAGGTTTCATTCTTCCAACAGATCATTGAAAAGCAAGCAGGGCACAGTCGGAGTCGAGTATTCCGTGAAGTGGAGACACTATATCAGTGTCAAGGAAACAAGTGAGTGTGTTATGTAGGTGGCTGACTTTCTGGGGAACGCTTGGCCGCAGAAGGGATTACTTCTTACCATCCCCAACTCCAGTATGTCTCTGTCACTGCTTCTCCACTATTGCATCTAACTCCTTCCATCTTTCAAGAGGGAAGAAGGGATAGGGGTAACTCAAATAAGTTTTATCTTTTCTTGCCTGAAATACTATAAATGATCATAGTCCATAGGTAAGAAAATGAGCACCTCCAATCATTGTCTATTTGAGGAAGAAATGGGGCTTCATTTTTTTTCCAGTGCCTATGGAAGACGGGCCAGCAGAGTGGTGCCTGGTAGCAATCTTTAGGGCTACTTTAACACACATACAATGCTAAAGACTGTTCACTGCTGTTTTCTGTCCCCACTGTAAGATGCCATTACAGTGCTGAAAGCCGGACCAGCACTCTTTGCTTGATAACTGGGCCACAGTAACCTTTAGCCCTGTGTTACACAGCTCCAAATGAGTGGTCCTCCCACTGTGGCTTTAAATCAGGGTCACCTCCAAGATTTGCACCACCCCCCCTTCCTTGGCAGGGTCAGCAGGGAGCCAGTGGCCTGGTATTGATGGCTTTGTCATTAAGCTTGGAGGATGGGGGCCCGCTGTTGATTTAACTCCAGGCACTGCCTCTACAATCTTCTTTCAAATTAGGCCATTTTGGCCATCTTATTTGGACGCCTTCACACTAGTAAAAGCCTGGTATCTCCCCAAGTGGTCAGCATTTTTTTTACGAGGGACAGATTTTTATTTTCAGCCCTGCAGCTTCTTAGTTCAGCATTAGAGACTCGACTAGGTTTATTTCGTTCTTCCAAAGAAAAAAGCCCCCAACACCTCCAATATCCAGGCAGGTGGCTTCCCCGCTGAGCTACAAGACGACCTTGTTGGCAGAGCACTGCAATACTCGGGTAGACAGAGAGTGCTCACCGGGGAAGACCACAAGTGCTATGGTGGCCAGGAATGCGATGGTTTCATTAAGCAGCGCTTAGCAGTTAGGGTCTAGCGGTGCCCACGTTAGGCCCCAAGTCTATTTGACAGATGTTTCCATTTTCTCCAGGCAATGTAAATACTGCCCCATGATTTATGGGCAAGAGGGAGGGCAAGTAATTATTTGCTGCTTGCCTCCAGGACACACACCTACTATTCAGTGTTATTAGCCGCAATTGCTTCCAGTCGGCTGCAGATTTTATTCAGTTTAATGTGACCAGGACTTTTTATAACTCTACCTAGTGGGTTTTAGGGTTGGGGTTTGACAGCACAGACTTGGCGAAAGCACCAGAGACTAAACATTATGGAAAGATAAGGTGACCTGAATCTTGCTAACACACCATTGGCTGCTTCTCAAACATGAGTCGTTAATAAGCATTCTGATTTCAAGTTGATTTCTGCCCACTACAGCCTCTGTATTGGATATTTATTAGTGGACTTTAGCATATAATGCTCCCCCCCCCTTTTCTCTATTTAAGGAACATTTTGGAGCTGATTGAATTCTTTGAAGATGACACACGGTTTTACTTGGTCTTTGAGAAATTGCAAGGAGGTATATCTCGTTGAGTATGTGTTTGGACTTTGGATTAAGACCCAGGGTGGTGATCATCCATCATGAATCCCAGAGACTTCTAAAACGAGTCAAGCTAATAAAAAGGATGAAGGACTTAAAAACTGCCCTTGGTTTGGGAGAAGGGAGGCCAGAGGGAAGGATGATAATTAGCATTTTGCAGAGCTTAGAATGTCACCTGTGTGGGCAGTCTATAAATGCCTTTTCATTACAATAGGAGTCGTATATAGATACTGTTAGTGATCAATTTATCAATCCCCTGTTTTGACACATTCACTATTTAACTAAATTAATTATGAAGTGGATGCTTTGGCTTACATTGTGAAGTCTAGAAAGGCTAAACAGAGGAGAAGCAGGCCCCATTGTTTAGAACACAGACAGGATACAAAGCAGGGCAAGAACATGCTACCCTTCAGGTAGAAGGAAAGATACCTTTCTGCCACTGCACTGCTGTCACTGGAATGTACATTTAAGTTGCTCTTCTGACATAGTGAAAGCAAAAAATGACACATTACCTCTCCTTTGCTTACCCAGCCCTAGGACACATTTGCAAGGTGAAGTTACAGGAATGTGCAGAGCTGAGTCAAAGGCTACATGAAGGGGCTTTTAGAAACTAACAAAGCTAAACTTAAGTCACACTGTCAGCCACCATGACCTTGGAAACATCAGTTAGCCTTTTCCAAATGGCATTCTCATCTGTACAATAGAGCTACTGGTAGCACCTACCTCATAGGGCCACTGTGAAGACTGAATGAGCTAGTACTTGTGAAATACTTAGCACCGTGCTGATAGGCACAAAGGGTTCAATAAGTGCTGGCTGTTGGTATTAGTAAAACAACTGACTGCTTAGAGACACCTGAGAAGTATGTAAAATAGTATTCTCTGCCTTGCTTTTTAAATAAATTTAGAAGCAAGAGATTTAATTCAGTAGGGCAAAACCATAATAAATAAGCATGGGCCATTTTTAGGACCTAAGAATGACACCTTCAGCCCAGAAATACTGGCATCCAGTAAAGAGTATGAATTACATGTTAGGAATACTGGGTGTACCTGTTGTGGTGGTGCACACCAGTAGGATTTGCTGAAGGAGGTGAAGGCAGCCTGGGCTACACATGAAAGAGATAGAAAGGAAGAGAGAGAGGGGGAGAGAGAGAGGGAGGGAAGGAAGAAAGGGGGAGGGAGGGAGGTGTGGGAGGGAAGGAAGAGAGGGAGGAAGGAAGGAATGAATACTGGGTACAACGGGGGTCCTCTTTAGCCATATTGATTAAGGTGTAGCTCTGGTGAAGCCAGACTATGGGGATTGTGGATGGGCTCAAGACTGCCTATCCCCCCAGCAGTTGGACCACAGTCCTACTGAAAGGAAGTGTGCACAAAGTTCTGAGGCTGAATGTACTAGGCAAAAGTCATAGCTTCACCACTTGCTAATATATGAGCTTAGGCAAATTGTTTGACCATTTCTGACATGGAGTCTCCCATTCATAAAATAGGAATAGCTGTTCTATCCATTTTGTGCATTTGTGTTGAGATAATGTGTTTAAAAAAGATTGAACAATTCTTTACATAGGAAATGCTCAATAAATGTTAATCAATGCCAACAAAATTAATAATGACATGTAAAGGAGAATTTTAGGAGGAAAAGCAATCCTGTCTTCTCATATCCCCTACCCCCAGGGTTTTACTTACACAAGGAGGGTGGGAATTCCCATTGGAAGGCCTGTGTTCTCGTCTGGATCCGAATTCAAATGAAGAGGAGGAAATGTCTCTAAGCCCCCACAGCCCTGTGTGTGTTCACTTTTAGTTCCTCTTGGTTTCAGAAGCCAGATCAGCCCCAGTAGCATTAGTATCTTTTTACCTTGTATATAATTCTTTTTCTGCATCTGAACTCACAGACAGGCATAGAAGGTGGCGATCTGGTTCAGCTTAAATATGCTGGTCCTGCTGTGCCCAGCACCGCAGTTGGTGCTAGACATTAAGCAATGAGTAAGCCCTGTGTTCCTACCCCAAGCTTGTACTGTAAGACATTATGCTTGCCAGAGCCTACAAAGCTGTTCTTTCTTGTCCCTCTGCCACAGGCTCCATCCTAGCACACATCCAGAAGCGGAAGCACTTCAATGAGCTGGAAGCCAGCAGAGTGGTGCGGGACGTTGCCACTGCCCTTGACTTCCTGCATACTAAAGGTGATCCAAGCCTTTGCCTTGGGCGGGCAGGTTGGGCTGACCAGCCTCTCTAGGTAGCAAAGTAGAGGTCACAGTCCTGGAAGGAACTGTCTAAGAGGTAGCACTGCTGGCACCTCAAGATTCAAACTTGTCCTCTTAGGAAGGGGAAGTGGCATGACTTCTAGGCTTCTCTGTGGAAGGGGGGGGGTTAGTAGAGCGGCAAGATAGAGGTGCAGGAGAGAAAAGGGAGAAGACGGGAGTGCACACTGCACAAAGCATGTGTGGGTTTGTGTGCTCCTGCACTACGTGGGTAATGTTTCTTTTCTTTTTTAAAATTCATTTCATTTTTTTTAATTATGCGTGTGTGTGTGTGTGTGTGTGTGTGTGTGCCTGTGTGTATGTCTGTGTGTGTCTATGTGTGACTGTGTGTCTGTGTGACTGTGTGTCTGTGTGGTGGTATATGCAAGTGAGCACTGGTGCCCAAGGAGGCCAAAGGCACCAGATCCCCCTGGAGCTGGATTTACAGAAGGTTATGAACTACCTGCTGCGGGTTCTGGGATCCATACTTGGGTCCTCTGTAAGAATGACTTATGCTCTTAACCTGGAACTATCTATCTCTCCAATCCCTCCTTTTCTTTACAAATAATATAAAACTCATAAATGGATGGCCTGGTCCCATGTAAGCATTGTAGCATCATTCCTTTTCATCTTTTAAAGCATATCACCTGTATTTCTCTTTCACATTGGCCTGTAAAGGTATAGGTAATCTTGTGTATCTGATAGTTTAAGAATTTCTACAATGAACTAAATCTTTTAGCATGTCCATTAGTCTGTTAGACTATTACGTTCATTTTGTTAATGCCATAGAAAATTGAGTTACCCTCTTGTAACCCTTGCGTGTTCCTTCAGTGGTAGCACCCACCCTGTGGTGTTATGGTAAGGAATAGGAGAGGTAACATTGTCCTCCATGGTAGTTAACACATTACACTTATTAAGTATTAGATGAATTCATTTATGTAGTTGTATGTATCCTCTGTGTGTCTTGTAGGCATATGTGTGCACACATGTCAGGAACTATACCCATGTATAGCAATGGGGCCATTATGCACAGTTCTTGTCATGTATGTGCATATATACACAGTACATACAGAAGTTGCACACAGCTACATACACAAATTAATGAGTAATAAAGACTTTTATAGCAGTGCCGTGGTGTGTGTGTGTGTGTGTGTGTGTGTGTGTGTGTGTGTGTGTGTGTGTGTGTGTGTGTGTGTGTGGCCTCTGGCACAGAGTAGTCTTTTGTTAAATGTTACTTTTTCTACCCTCTCCCACTAGACATAAAGAGTTTTTATTCTGAAATTACTTTCCTTGAAATAAAGCATTCTGCCTGGTCTGGGCAGAGGGGATGGAGTTGGAGCAGATAGTTTGTGAGTTAACGCTGCTCGCTGCACAAATGTGGTTATGAGTGCTCAGACACAGCTGTAAGCACGCCATACATGCCTTCCAGTCTGTGTCAGACATGTATCATATCCAGGTGTGGCAGGGGGGCC